GTCAAAACTATGGCCGAAATTTATTGAGTTATTTTTGATTTTTTCTTAATAATTATCAATTTCCATTTATTAAAAAGCAATTTTAATTTTGGACGAAACTAATAATGTAAGAATGAATTTTACTTCTCAAGCACTTTTTGATACTGAACAAGTGATAAGAACGCACTTGGACAATCAATTGAGCTAAAAACCAATCATGTGAAGCGAAAATTGTCGAGCGAGTCACGCAACAGACAGGAAATACGGCCGACTCTTCGTGGCCGGCTTCAAACTCCCACAAACCGTTTTGTATTTTTCTTGCAAGGCTTCTGAACTTAGTTCATTTAATGGTTTTGCCGACCTTGATTGACAAATTTTTATAATTCAAAACGAAGTTTTTGTATTTCAAAACGACAGTGCAAAGTTAACTTCTTTTTCCATTAAAAAAATTTATCAAATCTCATCAAATTGTTCTTTTTCTACTTGCATTTTTCTCTCAAACTTAACAATTTATTGATAAAATTTTTAACGTTGCTCTACTTCTGTTTCGTTTTGTGCAGTTTTCCACAAAAAACAAAAAGAAGTAAAAATTCGCAATCTATTTCAGTTTTTTTTTTCATTCAAATTTTTGTACCGCAAAACCAGTTTGTAATTTGATTACTGCCTGTATCTTATTCAGACTCGTAAAATTTCAAAAACAACGCTACTTGTAAATCGATTATAATTTGATTTTAGGTATTTAGGAATTCAAATGGACAACAGACTCAACTTTGAAAGTCATATTAATAATGTTTGTGGTAAATTAGCTAAATTTAACGTTTACTATTCAAGGGTAGAAACTATCTCTCGAAAAATGTGCTGGTTAAATTTTATAACTGCTATGCAAAGCCATTCATTTCCTACGGTTTAATTGCATTTGGTGCAACATCAAAAAACCTATTAGAAAAAATATTTCTGATGCAAAAACGTATTTTTAAAACTATTTGTTTCAAGAGAAAATTTGAGCATGCCTCATATATCCTACATTCGTTTGAGGTTGACACCGTTTTTGACTTATGTTTCAGACAAATATTCAAAGAAACTTTTAATCAACTTCGTAGTAAATTTCCCCTTGAAACTTTTAGTTTGGAATCTCTGAAAATTCGTCGGGTTACTCGGGCCTCTGTGGCAAAAACTTTACCAAGCATGAAAACTAGAACACAAATAATGCAACGTTCATGGAAAAATGTGTCTCTTAAATGTTATAATTTTTTGAAATCAAACGAGCTGATACCAGATAACCTAAGCCAATTAACTGAGCATCAACTAAATGGGTAAATCAAAAAATTGTTTTCATTGTTTCTGAAAGATAATGGAGATCTTCTAGATTTATTGTTTTGAATCATCAAGTCGGATACTATCTCGCAACTTCTGTCACAGGTTTTTTCAGGGTCATGCCTCGATAAGTTGCATAGCTTTTTGCATGATCCTTGGTGGGTTTGATTTGTACATGCGGTTTATTGTTTACCTGTCTGTATAATATTACTCTCCTAAATAAACTATATCATAATTGGTTACAATGATTAAAATTGTTCTTCTTGATGTTTAGTCTAAGATTTTCAAATACTTAAATTATTTAAAATTTGACTGTTGTTTTCACACTTCAAACATTGGCTTGTTTAAGTGAAATTCTCTGTTATAATAATAAAATGTGGTTTACTGGTGAGAAAATTTTTATCTTTTTTTTAAATTTTTCCTCCTCATTTCCCCCTGTTTGCTTGCACACTTTTCTGTACGATTTCTAGATTCTGGATTAATACTATCTCTAAATTCTAATCATTCATTTTTTGTCAAAACTATCCAAAAATGCGTAAAAACGTCAATTTTGGCCTGTGTTTTTAAGATCCAAAAAACTTCGAGTTCTTTCTCAAACCCTAACACCCTACGCAGGGGCGGATTTAGGGGGGGGGGGCGAGGGGGCGGACGCCCTCCTCTCAGGGATTCGACCCCTGCCGACCCAAAGGGTCCCCCCTTTGTACTATTTTGAGATATCCATTTTTAGTGACGGACCCTAAAAATTTTCTAAAGGCGCCTTAGGCGCCAATATATACTAATTTTGAGGGGGGAGCGCGCGCCGAAAAAACGCGATTTTTTGGTCAAAATTTTCCAAAAAGTGCCTAAAAACGCCTTGTTTGGACTATTTTTTCAAAATTTTGCCTGCGGCGCAGAAAGTTTGGCCCAAACAGGTACTAAATCGTGCTAAGGGAGAGCTCCAAAAATCAATTCGGTCGAACTAAAAAAAAAGGTCGTCAAAATTTTCAAAAATCCGCCCCACCCCTCGAGAAAAGAGAAAATCCTAGATCCGCCCCTGACCCTACGCGTCCTAAACCCTCCCCCTTTATCCACTCACGAGTTTTCTGATTTACCAAAGCTTAAGCTTCTCCCTTTCTTCATTTTTAATATTCAAGATCGGTGTTAAAAGTTTGAGGGATATCGTTTGACAAAGTTATACAAGACTGCTCGTATCAGGGCGAAGCCCTGAAAATTCCGACTGCCTTTTAACGTTTATGGAGCAGTAATAACATAAACAACATAAGAAAATTGAATGAAATAAAATAAAATGAAAAGATTTTTTAAAATTTGAAAATTTTTCTATGAAAATCATCCCCCCATACGCCATATAAAGTGCAAAACAATAGATTTCGCTCCTTGCAACAAATTCTTTCAACCAATTTGAAACGATTTCCAAGACGGATTAAATCTCCGCTTACGCGTTAATAGCGCGAATTATATCGCGCGTTAATTGTCCCAAATTGGTCAAAATGGCCAAAATGGCAATCTTCAAACCCTCATAACTTTTCGAAAAATGATCACAGGTGAAATATCTTTTCAAATTTAAGCTCAAGACAACAATAGCTTTCGAAATATTTAAATAAAATTCCGTCAAAATGACTAGTTAAAAATTCGATATTTGTCTGAAGAAAAAAAACTACCCCGAGCACAAATATTCCGTAACTTTCGTATCGAAAGTCGGAACAACAAAGTTGTGTGTGAGAAAACTTAGACATAGAGTAGACCATGATTATTGCAGAAAACGCTGCATGCTGTATAAATAATTTGCAACAAATTTATACAGATTTTCTATCCTTTATAATTCGTTATACTGATATCTATTCAAATATTTAATAAAAACTGGATGAAAATGGAATTAAAATCCAGCTCAAGGGCAAAAAATTTAATAATAATCCATTATAATGGACTTAATTCTGACTATGCATTATTTTGCAATCGATTTTTTTCTCATAAAACCACAGTGCGGGTATTGTAGCGAGAAAATAAATGAAGGCTAGAAACTCGCGTTTCAATTTAGAAAAAAATCTGAAATGGGCTAAGCAGAAACTACTTCTAGCTGGGTTAAAACTAAGCACAAAAGACAATTTAAAACCAAAATTAAAAATTAATCTTTCAATAAAAATTTAGTTGTCTTGATCAATCAAATAAACAGAAGCTGAACTTATGCAAATTAAATAAAAACAAGCATATAAGCAAATGTTCTACCGTAAATTTTAACAATTTTGAAGAGTTTAAAACTATATAAGTGACAGTTAAACGATTGGATCGCAGGTAGTCGTCATTTTCTGTCAAAATATTCAAATTTTTGCCCGATTTTTTTTGCGAGTTTTCATCGGATTCTGAGATTGAACTTTTGTCTGCATCTACAATGCTGTCGTCCCCCTCAAATTCGAAATACTGGCCTTGAATTTGCAATAAATGTTTGCGTGGAATAATGCCTGAATGAATATTTTTCAGAATACATTGTTGAACCGCTTCGCCTAATTTGCCAAGTCGCTTATCTGGAATCTTCTGCAGCATTTTAGGTTGAATCGAATTCCAAAAAGTGCACTTTAAGCCCTGCAGTTCATCATCAGGTAGTGCATTGAAAAACCCTCCCCCTTTATCCACTCACGAGTTTTCTGATTTACCAAAGCTTAAGCTTCTCCCTTTCTTCATTTTTAATATTCAAGATCGGTGTTAAAAGTTTGAGGGATATCGTTTGACAAAGTTATACAAGACTGCTCGTATCAGGGCGAAGCCCTGAAAATTCCGACTGCCTTTTAACGTTTATGGAGCAGTAATAACATAAACAACATAAGAAAATTGAATGAAATAAAATAAAATGAAAAGATTTTTTAAAATTTGAAAATTTTTCTATGAAAATCATCCCCCCATACGCCATATAAAGTGCAAAACAATAGATTTCGCTCCTTGCAACAAATTCTTTCAACCAATTTGAAACGATTTCCAAGACGGATTAAATCTCCGCTTACGCGTTAATAGCGCGAATTATATCGCGCGTTAATTGTCCCAAATTGGTCAAAATGGCCAAAATGGCAATCTTCAAACCCTCATAACTTTTCGAAAAATGATCACAGGTGAAATATCTTTTCAAATTTAAGCTCAAGACAACAATAGCTTTCGAAATATTTAAATAAAATTCCGTCAAAATGACTAGTTAAAAATTCGATATTTGTCTGAAGAAAAAAAACTACCCCGAGCACAAATATTCCGTAACTTTCGTATCGAAAGTCGGAACAACAAAGTTGTGTGTGAGAAAACTTAGACATAGAGTAGACCATGATTATTGCAGAAAACGCTGCATGCTGTATAAATAATTTGCAACAAATTTATACAGATTTTCTATCCTTTATAATTCGTTATACTGATATCTATTCAAATATTTAATAAAAACTGGATGAAAATGGAATTAAAATCCAGCTCAAGGGCAAAAAATTTAATAATAATCCATTATAATGGACTTAATTCTGACTATGCATTATTTTGCAATCGATTTTTTTCTCATAAAACCACAGTGCGGGTATTGTAGCGAGAAAATAAATGAAGGCTAGAAACTCGCGTTTCAATTTAGAAAAAAATCTGAAATGGGCTAAGCAGAAACTACTTCTAGCTGGGTTAAAACTAAGCACAAAAGACAATTTAAAACCAAAATTAAAAATTAATCTTTCAATAAAAATTTAGTTGTCTTGATCAATCAAATAAACAGAAGCTGAACTTATGCAAATTAAATAAAAACAAGCATATAAGCAAATGTTCTACCGTAAATTTTAACAATTTTGAAGAGTTTAAAACTATATAAGTGACAGTTAAACGATTGGATCGCAGGTAGTCGTCATTTTCTGTCAAAATATTCAAATTTTTGCCCGATTTTTTTTGCGAGTTTTCATCGGATTCTGAGATTGAACTTTTGTCTGCATCTACAATGCTGTCGTCCCCCTCAAATTCGAAATACTGGCCTTGAATTTGCAATAAATGTTTGCGTGGAATAATGCCTGAATGAATATTTTTCAGAATACATTGTTGAACCGCTTCGCCTAATTTGCCAAGTCGCTTATCTGGAATCTTCTGCAGCATTTTAGGTTGAATCGAATTCCAAAAAGTGCACTTTAAGCCCTGCAGTTCATCATCAGGTAGTGCATTGAAAAATGGAACGTCAGCGTACTGCAAGACGAGAGACCGTTTGACCGAAATCTCATTCAGTTCTAGAGCTGTGAATCCGGATAAAATGTAACCGTAATCGTTCACGTCAAATTCGGTCATTTCTTCAAGTTTGTTCGATATCAATCCTTGTTTTTCCAGTTGGTTTTTGATTATCCGCATTTTTTCATGTCCACAAGCCGACAATTTTGAGAAAGTTGGAAGTGAAAACTTGATTGCTTTCAATTCGAGCCCTTCTTCTGAAAATAGTTCTTCAACATCAGCCGCGCAAATGAAGTTTCCCAGAGTTGCTATTTCGAGCGACTTCAAATCTTTTAGCGAAGAAATTTGGTTTACTGCACAGAATCTGTCAAATCCTGTTTTTAATTGCTCAAACGACAAAGTTTCTAGATAACTGTGTAACGAAACTTCGTCATAATCGGTGAAATTTATCATCAAAAGTAATTGAAAATCATCGTTTGTCTTCGGCTTTGAAACTAAAGAACCCATTTCTTTTAAATAATGCCCCGCTTTTTTAAGAGAAATCAATCTTTCGCGGAAATAATCAATCTGGAACGGTTGTAAGAATTTCAAGTCCGAAATGGGTTTTACGCAGTTTTGGAAATCAAAATCCGCAATAATTTGCAATTGATTCAAATCTGCGAACCGCAAAGATTCGCCAAATGTTTTCATCATTGCACAACTTGGGCTAAGGGTAAATTTTTTATCATGAGAAGAACTTATATACGGTTTATACTCGATTAAACTTTTTAGCTTAGTATAAGTTGAATTAAATATAAGTTTCATCGAATTTTCGTAAAAATTGAAATCGCGAGTTGATAGTTTTCGTCGACAAAAACTTCCGTTTTCATAAAGAATTTCAACGCCTTGTGAAAGTGAAGATGCAACTTTTTCAAAATAGATTCTTTTCTGTTGATTTTTCTCAATAAAAACTTTGATTTTCTCAAATTCCTCGGCATCTGAGTAAATAATCGGCAAAGCTGCTCCGAAAGATAAATATGCTTCTTCGAAACTTAGATCCGCTTTTTGTGCTAATTTCAGAAGGGCTGAGCTTTGAGATTTAGTCAAGCAGCAGCCATTAAAAAGGTATCCGTAACTTCTAACCGAATCGGGTTTTAATTGGGATATAAATTGAGACGGTAACTCGCAAATAAGTGAGCCCATTGTTACTAAATCTTCTGAACTTAACCTTGTTTTGTTCACGCAATTCAGGTAAAAATTGGTGAAGTTTTGAGCTTTAAAAGGCGAAAAATGGGTTTTCAATTTTTCTGAATACCCAATTTTGCTGATAATATCAACACACCTTTGACGTTGAATTTCATTTTCAACTTCATCTTTGTAAAAATCAAGAGGAAGCTCTCGTAGCATGAAAGAGTTAAAATAGGATAAATAAATTTGAGGAATATTTTTCCAAGTTAGATCTCCTTTAACGCCAAACTGCGCTTTCGAAAAAGTTGAGGCCACATCAAACGCTTTATTAGCGAGTGTCCGAATAAGCTGATCGTCTGATTTATAAACTTCAGAGTTTGAAGTTATGAGGTTTATAACATCAAGAGCTTCAAAGGGTGAAAGGTTGAGAATCTCTTCGATTAAAATTCCGGATAGAGCACTTTCGAGCAAGTTGACAGAACGGGCGTTTATTTTAAAAGTAGGGTTATTTTTCATAAAGCCTCGCAGTCGCACAGCGTAATCTAATGCACCTAAATTTGGATCGGTTACTTCACAACTTTGAATCAAACTTTTCTCGATTTTGTCGAAAAATAATTGCGAGTGAACTCCAACTATAAATTCTTGATATTCTGAGAACCACACTTTTCTAAGAACCGAAAACTTGTAGCAGTGTTGTCGTGTAGCAAATGATTTCAAGTTTTCGCGATTAATTGGTCCGCGGTTCAGCAACACATGCTCAGTTGAAGGCGATAATTTTCCCAAATTTTGTGAATTTTCACGAAGAAAATTTTCTAATTCGACATCGTTAATGAGTCCGGATTGATAAAAATGAAAAGGTATTCCTCTTGAAATCGGAATTAGTTGATTCGGTTCCAAATATTTCTGTTTTGAAAGAAGGCCGCCAATATTTTCAAAAATTAATCTCGAAAGGTCAAATTCTTGCATTGTTTCCAGTTTATGGTTCTTTTTATTTATCAAAACTTCGCCGATTTTCGCCCAGTAGGACGAATCCTTAGAATTCAAAGTGCGTGTTCCCAACACGGATAAATAAGGAACTATTTGAGAAATATCAGGGCGCATAACTTCGTTACTACTATCTTTGTGTAGTTTTTTGAACAGCATGTCAATAACTATCGGGCAAACTTCTTCACTTTTCATGACTGAAGTTATTAAGTTTTCTTCCAAGTCCTTATAACTTATAACTTTTAATTCGTATAGAAACATGCTTGGGGATAGATGTTTAACCACATCTTTTCTGGCTACGTTTTTGAGATAAAAATCATAAGAATATCGTTTCATCCAGAGGAAATTTGAGATAATAGGAAACGCTAATGCCGGCGGAATTTCATTTTTCATAAATTTGAACACAGTTTCCAAAGTCTGCGACGAGTAATCGTATCGTTTGATGTCTGAAATGACCTTAACTGCGAAGTTTCGTGACACGCAATTGACCAGTGAGCCCAATTTATTTTCGCTGTTTCGGTCGAATCGGGTTTGGAGTCGTGACCACAAATCGCGACTCCGAGTGATCTCGGTTTCCAGTTTTCGACCAATAAGAAAACAGAGTCCTAAATTGTCGTTGTCGAAGTGGTTGCTCTTCGTGACCAATGAGATTACAGGAAGATCTAGAGCCGACTTGGTAAAAAATGTGTTCACGTGTCGTGGTTGAAGTCCATTCACCACTTCGTAAGTTCCGAGTTTGGGGCCAAGATTTTGGATTGCGAAGATGCTCACTTGTCGGTTGGAGTAGGCGGCAATTGCGTCCAGATAAGCTAAACATCGAAGGTTTTATGTTTATAGAAAATTAAATTACAATTGAAAATTTTCTTTTGTTTCTTTTTTTTCGACTAATTTTCAGCCACTGATTTCCGTTTTAATTATACAAGCTAGAATTCTGTACAGCTAAATAAGTTACTTAGAAACAAAATTAAAACACGATGTCAGTTTGTTGCAACACAGTAGTCGGAACAAAACTGACCAGCTTATTGGGGATGTTAACTTAGTCCGTTATTTTTTTAGTTTATCTTAATAGGGAATTTTTGTCTGAATAGGACCTACAAAAGAAAAAATCTCAAAAGTTTTCATTTTTTTTTGAAGTTCTGCAACTTCTATGAAATCTATTGATACTATCAGCGAAGTCTATTGATACTATAAGCGAAGTCTATTGATAAAATTCAGTTAAAAATCACCTGTCTTGAGAATCTTCGAATCATGGCTTGACAAAAGTTGTCCACTTGAAGTTGAATCATACAGTGTTCGCGACTGGAACCAACTATCGCTGTTATTCACAACATACATCTTAGAAACATCATTGACAGTCCTCGATCCCAAAATGTCCAGGACTGTTTCGGAATGTTGAAGTCGGATGTAATTGCGGTCCAAGGAAAGAATCACAGGACTCGGACTTGCAGTTGAAGTGGTGAAGAGTTTAGTTGGAATTAGAGGACAGTGTCGGAGTAGAAATGAATTTGACGATGAGTCCTAAAATATTAAAGAGGTTAAAGCAAACTTTCTTGTTTTGGATACTCTGTTTCTTTTCTTAACTCCTCAAAATAAAAGAAAATGTGAAACTTTTTACAGATATTATGGCAGAATACTCTGAAATCAGAATCAGTTTTTTTGACGATTTTTATTTTTCAAATTTTGTTATTTTGAAATTTATAATGTTTAAACTTTCCCTTTTTTTGATACCAGCAAAGAAGTTTTGAAATTTACAAAAAAATGAATGAAACCTTGAAAGAAAGGTAGTTATCAGACAATAAATACCTGGAGAATTTTCATTTGATCAGCAACAATTTGATTCATGGTAACATCTTCATAACTCAACACACACCATCCGGACGATAATGATGAGTCACTATCGCTAGCTCTTCTCTCATTGGTCAGTTCTCTTGGAGCACCAATGACGTAAGATAACGTCAAAAAAAGATAAATGAATTGAGGAATAAATTGTTTATTAAACATTTTTAATGTCTCCATTTGTGAGCTTTAGTTTTCCTCAACTAGTTTTTCGGGTAAAAACCACGTTTGATATATAATCGTTAGTGAATGTAGCTAACGGAATTTTCTGCTCCTCGGAAATCCAGCGTTCTAAAACAATAAATGCTTAAATTAACTAATGTGAATTATCGTCTTAGCTAGCAAACTTCGAGAAATATTTGCTGATACTACTATCTTACTAATTTAAATTTGTGAAAAAAACTTTAAATGTTATTTCTTTTAAAAATTTTCTTAAATGGGTTTTGTACAATTATTTTGTAATGTGAGAAAACGATAGGATCTACTTAACAATCCCCCCCCCCCCTATTGTACCTACTAAAAAATCTCCCCGCCTTTCTTGAAAGGGCGGTGTGGAGATTGTTAAGTAGATCCAAACGATAATTATAATCGATTTTCAACATTATTTTAAGGTCGACATGGGAATCGATTATATTGACAAAATTTCAGCCTGAAAAACTCATTTATAATTTTTTCCACGAATTCAGACACGGACGAATTAATGAGTGGGCACCCTGAAAAAATTTTTGAAGCGCGAAAAAACCCAAAACTTTTCAAAAAGTGTCCAAATTCAGATCCACGAAAAAATTATACCCCCTCTTTCTTTTCTTATTTCACTTACCTTCGAAACATTTGTGTAACGAACTGAATGGTTAGAAAACTTATCTAGTAGAAATTTATAAAAGCAAAAGTAGTTACATTTTAAAATACTCGATCGAAAAACGGGCATTCCGTGAACAGAAATTCAACTTTCTTCTGAAATTGGGCCAACCAAACAAAACTTCAGATTGTAAAGATGGTCAAGTTGCATGTGGTAGAGATATCAGATATGTAATCATATCAGTTTTAATCACTTACTTAAGTAAACACTTACTCGGCTTATGATGATCAATCTTGAAAAGTGAGAAATAGGCAAACACTATTTATCTATAAAAGATGGTGATTTATACAAGATAGTTTCCCAATAAATAAGCCATATAAAATTGGCCAAATAAAATGTGATCTTTCAATAAAAACTTTTTGGAAGAAAAATTAACGGAAATTTTCAGATTTATTCGGAAATTACCGAGATTGTGAAAAGTTTTCTGTACTTGTGAACAAATAAAAGCAATTTTTGTTTGTATTGGTCCGATCAAATTTACCTTTTAGATCTTAGCGGATGCTAGTCTCAAAATTTATCATCAACTTTGATTAACAGCCCATTAAATACAGGATGTACCCTACCTGTATATCATCGAGGCGAAATTACTGTTCAAATATCACGAATTTGAATCATTAGAAGGCAAATAATTTTAACTAAAAGTAGAATCGTAGTCTTCAATTTAATTTGTCTCTTAAAGCCGCAAAAACAAAAAAGAACAATAAAAAGAGTTCAAAAATAGTTCGAACTGGGCTAATTTAATCTTTTGGGTCTCCAGAAATTCAGCAAAATATCGGTCGAGTTTCGTTTTTTCCCCGTGAATAATAGTAATTTTGTTGGTTTCTTTTAACTTTCTGAAATTTTAAGAGATCGATGATAAAATTTATGCTTGAAACTGAGTCAATTTAGTCAATTTATGTAAATGGACACATTAAAAAGGTTATCGAAACAGATCCAATAAATAGAATCAACAAACAAACAAACTTTCACTTGTCAGTTAAGTTTCAAAATGGTTTTTTCAATTCTGTAAAAATGAAAAAGAACAAAGAAATATAGATATTTTTTGTAGATTTTTAATAAACAATCTCCAACTACGCAAAAGGATTAATGACAAATCTTTTTGGCAAAAATGAGACCGAGTAATAAAAACAATTAGCCCGATTTTGAAGTAGAAAATAGAAACACAAAATAAAATAGGGCTAAATTACACAAATTAGTTTTCTAAAATGCAGTACAATACCTGCTTTCCAATCAATGCACAAAAGCTTATTTGGTCTAGAAGGAAAAAGGACTTTTTCTTAATTACTTTGAATGCTCCAGTAGGCTAAAAAATTGCCAAATCATTCAAGTTGAACTGCAATACTTTTACATACCTTAGTAAGAGGTTCCAATCCAATGCAATCCAATATAAAACATTCCCGAAATGAATCTAGGCTAATTAAGAATTTTTAGGGAAAATGAAATTTTCCCTCGATCTTTTTTCTCAACATTTTTATTTTCTGCCAGATATTTTCAGAAATACACGAAATCAGGGAAGTGACCTAGTCTTAAGTAAAATTGAGAGTAGTTACTCTTGATTATTAATAACCTCTTTTAATAACTTTATCGACTGTTGATCTGTTATCAGAATAGAATTCCTTTATTGAATTCTTGAATCCCTGCTAACATATCTATCACCTTCCTCAGAATTTTTGGCTACTCCATGCGAACTTTCAGTAGTTGTTTTATCAGGAATTATCTAGGATTTATTAAATAATAGTTATAATAAAGAAGTGGATTTAATAACTTTTCTGTTCAATCCGATAGACTCAAGTCACTCATGGCAAACAGACAACTGCTCTTTTTAATTATATGAATTTTGAAAGTGAAAACTACAAATTTTGTTACAGTGCCTTATTTTATCATGAAGATTTTGAACACATTTTCTAAAAAAACATATATTTTCCATTGATACGGGAAACTTAAAAGACAAATCTTGCAACAAAAGCGGTTTTCTTTTTCCAACTGTATTGCATTACAAAAGACCAAAAACGGCTTTTACAAATTTAATTTTTATGGCGCCGGTTTCATTGACCTTTTAGCACAACAAAAATGATCTTCCGTGCTCTTCTCAAGCTGTATCTAAAAATTTTTCAGTGTCAACTAGCCGAGAAAAGTTGGCTTTTTTTTCCTTACGACCTAAAATTTCAGTTTGAAAAGAGTCAATTTCAACTTAACAATTGCATTTTCATTAACAATTTTCAACATTGTGAATGAAAAATGTTTTCATCAGGTGTAAACCTAAACTGAGAATTCATCGCAATTTTATAGAAAGTATGCAAACGTAATAGAATTCTGCACCTTGTAAAATTTTCTAGAGGCGTTTCTTTTTTTTTGTGTCAACTGAATGGTCAATTTTAATTTGTTTCAATTGTCTTTCCTTTATTGTTTTGTAGTGTTTCATTTGAGCCAAAACAATTACCAATCGTAAATGTTCCTGGCTGCTGTCGAATCTAAAAAGTAAACAAATCAAAAAAGCTGTAGATTTTTAGGCTCAATTTTTTTTCAAGTTCAGAAGCAACAGGGGCATTTTAAAATAGGAAAACATTTGAAAGGAAGTCCAAACTATTTTTTCAAACCATGTTCAAACTATTTTTTTGGCTAAAAGACAAATTTTGTCTTTTAATGAAAGTAGTAGTTTTTGATAACAAATCGATAAAAATGTTGAAATGGAGAGCGTCCTCCCAACACGCAAGGCAAATAAAAATATTGTCTTAATTCACTCGGGTTAAAAACACTGAGTTAAAATGTTGGGTAAATACATGAGAGTTAGTTCATTTTTTAACCGTCCCTCTATTATCAGTTGGAATGTAACCAAATATCGAAATTGTCAACGATACTAATTTTTCAAGACATTACTCAATCCAATCAATGAAGTCAAAGCTATATATGTCACATTCACGGTAAAAAAATGTCAAATTCACATATGTCAAGGTAAAAAAAACTATCAAAAAGAGAACATTTGAACGACTTGAAGTTTCATCCCAAAGACATCTTGAATTTGAGGAGTGATTTCTTCGAGCATCTGGAACAATCATAGAAAACCTACTCTACACAGAACTGCTCAGAAACAAAAACTTTACGATGGAAACAGCTTTTTGTGTTTGACATTGAATAGTTCGGTCAAATCAAAGTTAAACCTAACAGTTGTACAATCGAACAAGGATTTCAGATTCCATGAACAAATTTGCTATCAATAGAGTACGCGATACATAACATACCGGAGACACTGCCGACAATCACAGGAAACAAGGCTCAGGGGTAAAACTTAAATCTATTTTACGAAGAGCAAGCAATATTCCCTAGTCAATGCAAGACAATAAAGGCAATGTTATACGGCATGGTCAAACATCGTGTAATTGAGCCAGTACAGGCTAGAAAATTTACCAATATTTGTACCTGAGAAAGTAAAACAGTGAACAGTACAGCGGTTTATCAACGGCAAAAAAAGACGAAGGCTACGCATTGCCCGACGTAAAATTTTTTTCCACAAAATGCATTGAGATAAGTTTTTGGAAAATTGACCTCTCTTGCGCCTACCAACAAATCGATTGAAATGATAGTTCCACAGGAGTGTGTACAATAAACTCCCAACATGCGCTAATCAAGATCTGCTGTTTATCGCAAATTTTGAAAAAAAAATTCTTCAAATTTTCAAAACGGCATTGGAAATAATTTCAATTAAATCAAGGTTTGATCATCTGCCAGGTCGAACAACTGATTTAAAGATCAGTAGAATATCTAAACGCAGAGCGTTTACTGGCAGTCAAAGGACAACCTAGAAAACCAAATTTCGGTTTGAAAAATTCTGCGAATCGAAACAAAATTCAAGCAATTGTGCACTGGTAGGTTTCACGGACGAAAGATTCCGAACCCTAAAGCAAAGATGTTGACCTACGGGATCAAGATTTGAAGTGAGCCGACAAACAAAAGGAGCTACTTCAAAAAAATTAAATAAGAATTATGCTCAAAACCAGTTATTCTCTGCCCGAACAAGTGACGGTGACCAGCGACGCATTCGAACAGGCGGTTGGAGGGTCTCTGGCACAAAAATCATAACGTGATCTACGCTTCGGAGAGACCATTTTAAGCCGATTGCAACTTCTTTAATCTAGAAAGATAAAAATCTATCATGTGTGCGGTGAAACGGATGAAGTACTTCTTAATCGAGCTCAAAACACTCTGCTTGTTGAATTCAAATCTATGCAAAACCTTTTTGGTCCAGCTAGAAGATACCAGAAATAATATCGGCTACAATAAAGAGATGAGCTAGACCGCGGATAGGGTTTCGACAAGAAACTGAACCATAATACAAGGAGAAAATATTGCATGCGGATGCTCTAAATAGACTGCAATTTGATGAGAAACCAGAAAAGAGGAAACATTCTTCTTATAGGAGAACATCTTGTGACGTCCTCAAACGCTTACAAAGCGTTGACACAATTCAAGAATGAAGTTAAAAAACCGGCATTACAAGAATGCCTGAACTGCCGGGATGAAATTTCACTCATCATACCACCGCTATTCAAAAGCCAAATATGGCTCAAGCTTAAGAGACAAATCCTGGAAAACAGAACTCTCTGATTACTTGGCATATCGCAAAATGTGGAACAATTTTTGACGAGCTTTGTCGAAACAACGCATCAAGACTATGATGAACAGTGTCCAACTAGCGCGTAACTGCCATGTAGAAGGAATCAGTACGGAAAGGCTCATCAAAAAAAAACAAGAAACAAGTCATGTCATTGAGGACACAGGAAGTGGCTGGATCGAATTGTTTCTGGCCAACAATAGAAGTAATCTAACAATCAAGAGGGGCCAAACAACCGAAATTTTTCCCAGGTTTGAAGTATCAACGGACACAAGTTTTTACCCAAGATTCAGAGAAAAAGCAAATTGGAATCTCTTCATTTGCAAAGTAAGAACACCAGCTGATTGTTTTGAAACAGCTCTCAGGTTCCAATCTATCCACAAACTTTGACGTTTGATGACAGATAATACCCAATCAGAACAAAAACACCGACGCAAAACCTGCAAAACTTCTTTATTCGTAGTGAAATCAAAATTTGGAGAGTATAAATAAGCAAGCATAACAGATGCATTGCACCTGAACTAAAAATGATTTGATTCTGCAGCTAGTTTTTTCTCTTGCTAATTAAAAAGAGTTTAATAAACTGTCGAAATTTGTCAGTTTTATTAGATGCTAATCATTCCTATCATTGAAATCAATGCTATGTGGGTCGTTTGTAGGGTTGCTGTTACGGCTTTAAAAAAAGTTGACGGAATAGTTCCACGCTGAGTGTTCTGTATGCAAAGAAAACTTGAGTTCGGAAAATTGCTTTTGAAATTAGCAATTAGAAATAATTTTTTCGAAGACTGAAAGTTTGGAGGAACTTTGATTTTGGGTTCGTTTATGATTTTAATTTTTGTAGAAAAAAAAATCACGCAAAACGTGATACCACAATTAATTATCTGAATGAGTAAAGGAATATGTGAATGTGGAACCTTTTTGATCATGAATTAAACGACATTAAAACTTTTGCCAATTTAGCCTTTTTTAAGTTTTCTTAAAAGCGAACACTATTCTTCAGACCTTAAAACGCAGTAGGAGTATTAGCGGCTTCGCCCTGATAAGAGCAATCTTTTTCTAATTGAATTTCATAGTTATTTTACTTTTCTTGCATTAATTTTCATTCTTGCAATTTTTCACATACATCAATCAGCCTATTAACACTGATTGAGACAAAAATGAAAAAAAAGGAGAATTTTTTTGTATTTATTTTGTCTTTATTTGTTAGAATTAGTGGAAAAATTCTGTGCTAGTCACAAAACAACCGGCAATACTTTAGGTTAAATTATGCAAACTGTTTTTTTTAGGGTACGCGGTTTTAAAAATTGTCAAATAAGCTAAGGCTAAATATATTTATCTTTTGAGCAATGTAATTACAAGTTTTTTAAATATCGTAGGCGGTGAGCTAGAGGAAAACTAATTGTCCAAAGTTTGCGTTAGTAGCCGGCAAAAACGAAATGAAAAATATCAAACAATTTTGAAGTGTATTCGTTTTTCTCTACCAATATTATTTCACTCATTATAAAAAAAAAATTGGAGCTTTCCAGTCCTCGTTTAAATACGAACAGTCTATTTCAAAAAAATTTCATAAAACGGAAACGACAAAAAAGTGAAACCATAATTAGTAACAATCAGCGTACGATGAGTGACAACGCTCAGCTAATGCTGTGAGCTTTTAATTGACCATACATTTATTAATAATTAGAGGAAAAATCAAAAATTAATTATTCAAATTCGAATAAAAAGAATGGCTGTGAGTTTCAATCAAAAATTTAGACAAAATTAATTTAAATTTAAAATAGTATAATATTTAGTTTATTTCAAAGAATAGAACAAGAAGAGCAGCAGCAGCATTTCTTTTTGTTGTCGTCGTTTTTGCAGAGAGTATCAGTCGAGTTCGAGTCGGACTGGTAGCCGAGTTGGTGGACCTCGATTACTGCAGGCGGGTTGTTCTCATCGCGAATTGACAAGCCACGGGCGACATCTGAATCCGGGTTCTTATTCTGCAAAATTAAATAAAATTATTGGTTAAAGCAAAAAAATGGGAACCTTTTCTTTTGCTTGTTTGTTTCTCTAACTTTTGTAAAGTTGAAGCAGCAGTTTTCATTTTTTGTCTTCATTTGCCAATCATTAATTCATAGAACAGTTTTTTAAAATTGAAGCACCATATTCTGATAGAAAAAATTGCAAATTTTCTTTTTGAACTTTTTAATCCTGGTTGCCCAAGTCAGCCAGAATAATGGAAAAAGGTAATTAAAACAAAAAAATATTGAAAACACAAAAGCGAAAACTTAGCCAAGAGACAATTGGCAAAGAGTCAATGAACGCAAAGCAACAGAAAAGAAAGATTTATTTTTGTAAACCCTTAATTTTCGAAAGATTTTAGATGGACACATTTTTGATAAAATCGACTCATGAAAAAAACTGGATCAATAAGTAAAAAACTGGATCAATAGTTTTACCTTTGATCCAGTTGAAAAAACTGGATCAATAGCTTAAAAATTTAATTCCGCTGGGAAAATTGAAAATTAAAGTTCAGTTTTATAACAAGAAGTCAATCACGTTTGCCAAGTTAGCCAATTGGGATAATTAACGCGCGATATATATTCGGCTACTAACGCGTAAGCGGAAATTTAATCAGACTTCGAAATCTCTCCGAATTTAAATGAGGCATACTTTTTGTCTATTTAATATTTTTTATATGCAATATGAAACACGTTGCATTTTACATAGCGTGTGAGCCGATGGTTTTCACATAAGTATGTACTTTTTTCATTTATTTAAAACGTTTTATCCAATTTTTTAAAAAGGTAAATAGTTAATCAATAGGGAAAAATTTAATTCCGCTGTGAAATCAGAAACTTTCGAAACTAGAAGTCAGTTTTTCGTGACCTTTAATCTTGTGATGTTCGATAGTGGAGTTTGCCTTCCTTTCAGCAAAGGAAATGAACTGAACTTAAGAAGAAATCAAAAGTCTTTCCTGAAAAAAAAACGAAAAAAAAAATCATCTCGACCAGCTTAAGAGTGAACTGCATTTATCGAATCTTAAAAAAGGCGCTAAGCAGCAAAGACCATGTTCACTAACTGTTGAATGCTGTTTTGATAAATCAGACGGACTGTTGTTGTCAATATTCCGATCCAAAGTTGTAGCCAGATCTTTCATTTGTTGGACTCCCGATTGAAACGACGGTTTCTCGCCTGGTGAGACCTCTTTCCTCGAAGTTGTCGGCACTTGTTCCGAACGACTCTCGCTTATGTTAACTGCGATCACATTTGAAGCAGTTTGCCTTCGTGATGCGGAAGAGTTAGTACTGGTTCGGGATCGGATTGATTTGCTATCTTGGGAAGATTTGGAAGTGGTCGAGCTTTTTCGGAGGGTTCGACTCAGGTTCGATCCTCGTCGTTCGACTTCCTGGTAGTTTTCTTCTTTTTCTAAAAAACAACACTTTTTCTAAAAACACTCATTTTGATAACAATAAGTTTCAATTAAAAGTAACTCGCCATGTCCTTATAAAAAATACAAGCTATATGTATCAGGCAAAAATTATTATCAAAAACCAAATAGATCACAGAAACTTTCTTCGGTTTTGAGATCCTGAGCAAAAAATGAAAACTTAAATTGGCGTTTAAACATATAATCCGATACAGTGGCGTGCGCAGAAATTTTTCTAGGGGGGGGCGGTTTTTCGAAAAATTTTGAAAGTTTTGCCGACATTTTTTTTATTAGGTCGATCAATTTGGCTACCCGAGCTCTCCCAAAAGACCCCTGTTTCGGTCAAATTTTCTCCGCCACAGGAAAAATTTTGAAAAACAGGTAAAAAAAAGGTGGTTTTAGGCACTTTTTGGAAAACTTTGACTGAAAAATTGCGCTTTTTTTGGCGCGCGCTCCCCCCTCAAATTTAGTCATATTGGCACAAAAGGCGCCTTTAAAAAAATTTTGAGGTTCGTCACTGAAAAAGAGATGTCATAAAGTTATACCACAGGGTGGACCCTTTGGAAAATTTTGGCAGCCAGAATTGATTGAAAAGAAGGGCGGTCCAAACCCCCCCCCCCCCCCCCCCACTGGCACGCTACTGCTCCGATATTAATCAATGAATGCAAAAAGTTTATAGCCTTGCATACCTGAAGTTTGGTTTGTGGTGCCTTTTTGTGGGACTAAATTGTTGTTGTCGTTGTTAGCGTTGTTGTCGATGTTTTCGTTGTTAGCCGGCAAGGGTTCCTTTTCGTTGGACATCGAGACGGAGTTGCTGGTCCGTTGTATTTTAACGCCTAAAACGTAAGACACGATCAAACATTGCTCCAATTTTTTCAAAGACTTAAGCGCCAATTAAGCACCAATGAGTTCAGGTCGGAAACTTTAGTTTCACAACTCTTTCTGATCTATAGTTGTTCACATCGTTGAATCAACATTTTTGTGAATGTAAAAAATTGAATAATCTGTTTCAATTGATTCAATCTTTTCGAGGTTTTCGGTGACTTTTTTAAACAAATTTTAATCATTACTAATATAATTTGAAGAATATTGGCAGTGACTAAGAGGACTTCAGCAGTAGGTAAAAAGAGTAAGAAAAAAATAGCCCGATTTGTTACCTAATTCGGCTCCTTCGGTTTTGATATTCTCGTTTTTCTCCTCTTCGACAAAAGTAAACTCGTCATCTAGAACTATCTCGGGATGACTAGAAACATCATTCGTAGTCTCGTCCCCTTGCGACTCACTCAAGGTCAAGTTAGTCGGTAGATTCGGCACCGAACTTGAAAAGACATCGCCCTCTGACGGCGAAATAGTATACACTGGAACACCCGTTGCCTCGATCTGATTTTCTGGAGTGAATTCGCTGGCTCGCAAATCTTTCAAAATGAGAGTATTCAGGTTGTCGGAGTCTTCCAGTCCTTCCTGTTCATAATAAATCAGTCTCACAACTGATTGTGAACATTCACAGCCAATTTCTGTGCAAGTAGCACAGACAGATACCGACAAGAGACTCATTTGAAAAAATGGCAAATTAAAAAAACATTAAAAGATACTCAGCCGAGGAGATGAAATATTTACCACAGGTGGCTTGCCTGAGCTGCACAAACTGATGATATGATCAATTTAAAAAAAAACAGGAGTTTGACACCCTACAAGAATTGGACCCTGACGCAAATTTTGGGTTTATTACACCAAAAACTTTCAAAGACCACCCAAGCCTTGGCAGCAGTCAAAGAAGAATTTGAGGTCAGAAAACGTTAAGACAAGCCGATCCGATGATGCCACTTTTGTATGCGCAGCTGCAGATTGAAGCAACCATTTGGTAGCGAAATGCACTACAAAATTTTTTTTCTAAGAAAAACTGCTAGAAAATTACCTGCGATCTAATATGCAGAAGACCCCCTCTCGGGTTTGGAATCGGCATATATTAGAAACAAAGAAAAATGATCGTTGATCAGACATGGCCAGGTTTTCCCAGAAAATATAAAATCAATTTTGTAAAATCTTTTTGATTTTTTTGAATGTTTGACTCAAACTTATCTTATTTTTTATTGAAAATTAAATATGCTACTCGATCCGACATATGAATTAAATATGCTGATTCAATCCGACAATCAGAAGATTTAGAGCCCCTGTCCTCGTATTTGCGCCACAGACCTTTGACATTTTACTTACATTAGCCACAAGTAAAGCAGCTGAATATGCTAGAAATTTAAAAAAAAGTAGCTGCAGATATAAAAAGACACAATTTAACCAAAGATTTAACTTAGATTAAGCTAAACATTTCTTAAATGATATGTAACAATGTTATCTAATTGTTGTTTTTGTTCCGACCGTTTAAAAACTGGGGAGCAACTTTGTATTCGGGTGTTTTAGTTTTTTCTTTTTTTGTTTTCCCCGCAAAATCAGCCACGTCAAACAATCATTGGAGAAAATTGAGTAGCCGTTTTTCAGTCCTGATTCAGTCGACATCAAAAAGTTTTTAAAAAAATTCCCAGTGTGGAGAAAAATCACCTTATATTTTTGATTTTTCGTCTAAATTCGAGCAAAAAAAAGTGAGCGAGCACGCTTATTTATGCGTAATTTAGGCCGTTGACAATAATTTTGTATTCGGGTGTGTTTTTCAAAAATAAACTTCTGCAAAAACAAAAATTGAAAAAAGTTTGAATTTAAAAAAAATATATTTTTATGATTTTTTTGTTTCTCTTATCACTTTTCTTCAAAGTCTGTAGTCCTGTTTGCCTTTTTTACTATCCGCATCCAGTTTCAAGCGTTAATAATCGATTATATTACGAGTTTAGTATCAGTCTTACTGAAATTGAGAAACAGTGGATTTTAATCAATTAATAATCGATTATAATCTCTCTTTTTAAGATCAAACTATAATTAATTATAATCCATTATTTTTATTCAAATTTCTAATTCATTACTTTTCCACAAAAATCCATTATAATCGGTTAGAATTGATTATAAACCCTTTTTTTTGTCCATTTCGTCTTCGAAGTTGCATCTAAATTGCTTATATTTTATGCTTTTTGTAGACGTAGGTTCCTATGAAAATTGAGAAAAGTGTTTTTAAAGTTTTCCAATCATTTCATATTTATAAGGTTTTTTTTCATTTTTCCCCATTAGAGTTGTTTTGTGATGCATATTTTTAGCTTTTTAACCACCAAAACATCCGCAAATTGATTTAGTTTCATGATTGATTCGGTAGATTTATTTTTCATCTACCGCGGGAACCTTTCTACTAATATGAAAGAATCTCTATGAAACTATTTTTTCGAGGTAAAACTTTGTTTTCACATGAACCAAAGTGTTCAAGAGATCTCTTTTAGAGATTTTCTTATTGACACAAAAAATATAAACCATAAGATATAATTCGAATATAGTTTCGAACTGACAAAATTTTGGCAAAAAATAGAGTTTATAATCGATTATATTCAATTATAATTGATTCTAACGGTTTTTTGTAAGAATTAGAGGTTATCATCTCTTGGAAAAATCACAATTACAACCAATTATAAATCCTTTAAACACCTAATTTTGGTAATTATAATCAATTATAATTGTCAGAAAATCATCATAATTATCCCTTATAATCAATTTTTCACGCCCAAACTTGGATGCGGGTATGACTAAATTATAGTTTTACGTCAGATCCTTTTATCACGCCAAGCAGAAAAAACGACACTTGTTTGAAAATGAAATTTTTTTCTTGTAGTTTTTAAAGACTATGGTCGGAACATTCTGTGCTACTTGCACAGTTACTGGCTATCCTTGTTAATTGTTATGAGATTACCTGTGTGAAAAATGATTCGAGCATAGCCTCGATATCACTCATCTGTTCGATGCCCTGTGAATCGTTCCCAGACCTCTGCTCAAAATTACTTTGATCATCTGCATCAGAAATCGTAGAAGTTGGTCGGCTCCAACTAAAAAATATAGCTGCTGATCAACCTCACGTTTTCTTAGTTCGACTATTTTCCACTTTCCCAAATTTTTAAATTTTCTATTTTTTATTGTTATTTTAAGTGTTGTTCTGGCCAACGCGTAAAATTACGATGTAAGGTAATCTGAAAAACTAATCTGTTCACAATTGCTAATTTGTTAACCAAGCCAAAAATTCAATTGCATTATGGCAAAATAAAGCAGACTTTTAAAATTGAAATTCAAAGTTGGTAGAGGGGGAAATGAGAAGAGCCGATGGTAAATTCTATCAATTATTGTATTCGCGAACATGAAAGGTCATAGCCGATCATCACCTAGAAGTTGGATTCTACTTTTTGATGAATATCAAGCATAGCCAATAGACAGTAGGGAAAAATTCAATGAAGTAAACATTAGAAAAAAACTGGCTTATTATTTGAAAAATTCGAATTTCAAAAAAAAAACGTAGATTATCTTTTTCGACAAAATTGGCTAATTTAAAAAAAAAATAGATCATAAGGTAAGCTCTTTAAATCGATAGAAAACCTGAAAATAAATTGAAATCGATCGTTTTTTTTGTGATCATTACACTTTTACTGTTCGATAGTGGAGTTTTTTTTCTAACAAAGGAAATGAACTGAATTTAAAAAGAAATCAAAAATCAAACCACGAAAGATTAAACGTGACCCTGAAATTCTAAGACTTATCCTGAAAAAAGGAATCATCTCGACCAGGTGCGGATCTAGGATTTTCTCCAGGGTGGAGCCAATTTTCAAAAAAAAAACTAATTTCAAAAAAAATTTTTGACTTCATTTTGAGGTCGTTAAATTGGTTTTCTGAGCGCTCCCAAATTCTTATAAAGACTCCATGTTGACCAAATTTTCGGGAAAATCTTGGGCAAAATTTTGAAGAAACAGGCCAAAAAAGCATTTTAGGCACTTTTTGGAAAGTTTTGGCCAAAAAGTCCCCGTCAAAATTAGTATATTTTGGCACGCAAGGCGCCTTAAGAAAAATTTTAGAGTCAGTCAGCCAAAAATGGATATCTCAAATTAGCACAAAGGGGTTACCCTTTGGGTTGGCAGGGGGTCGAATCCTAGAAAAACGCCCCCCTTCCCCCCTCTCTTCCCTCCCTCTAAATCCGCTGGTGGTGATCTCGACCTATATGAGAGATTTTACTACGTTCATCGATTCTGAATCAAAAAGGAGTTTTTTCTCTCACCTCTTTCCCGTTCGCAAGTCGTTTTCCCGCTCAATTTTCTTGAGCCGTCCCTTCCAGTATTTCAGAACATCGTCGTAACTTATGCTGTAGTCTTTATATTTTTCACCGAAAAGTGATCGCAATTTGTCCTCGAAGGCTGCATGATGTTTTCCCAGCATTCGTTTCACCTGAATTTTACAGATTCTGCATCCAAATTCTGATGAAATATGATCAAAATTTTGAGCCCAAGTTACAAATAACGTGTATAAATGTCATATATGAGCAGCCATATTTCTCATGTAATATGTTCAGAAAAGTTTTTTTGGCCTTTTTGAAAATTAGAAAGTTTTTTTTGGCCTTTTTGTTTTTCGATTAACTTTTTGATAAAAACCGTTGTCAAAGATACTTGTTCTACTCCCACTATCGAATATAATTATATTCTAGGCTTTCATTCAGATCCGCTCATAGCCGAACAAACAAAAAAAAAACAATTTTTTAGAAAAAAAAATTGAGGTCGGAACTTTTTGTGCTATTTGCACAGCAACCGGCTATCCTTGTTATTCAACCGCTTTCAATAGATTTTTTAAAATAAATATACTTTGATTATCTCTACAATGAGTTCAATTGCTTTTGGAAAATCTTGGCGTTTGAATTAGTGGACTAAAATTGGTTGCCATAAAATAGTACCAGGCGGAACTATGGAACTTCGAAACAAAAACTAACAGACGAATCGAGTAGCAACAAAAAAAACGTTTGAAAAAATCCACGGCAATTTTTTTCCTTCATCCCCTACCTGCAAATTTTTAGAAGTAAATTTTGTTTACATTGTCTAATTTCTTACATCGTCCAATTTACATCGGCATGCGGACTAATTAGGCAATGGCAAACATACTCATACTTGGTTTTCATATTTAACCCTCTAAAACCCCTCGTTACACTAAAAAGTTGATGCTTATGTGCGATGGGGTGGGGGTTTGGGTCGGTTGAGAGCCACTATGACTGGGTCTCACATGTGCATCCATGTCTAGTTTGCCCACTGATGCTCTGTCGGGGGTGATGCTGAATCTCCTGGGGTCAACAACTGTACTCCTGCTGGGGTCATATCTCGACCGGATGTCCATCTTCTGCACCGTGTTTGCCCTGGCTTCACGCCTGAAGAGAATCATGAAATAAAAAGGACCGATTACTGAGCAAACACAAGCAAAAAAACAATACTGCAACTAAAACCTATCGCTGCAAAGAGTGCAAAACGAACAAGCAAAAAGTAAAAAGCAAATTGAGGAAACAATTTTGAATAAATTTTCCCCTTTTTTGCAGAGCGGGCGAAGGAGAGAGGGGAAACCTGAGAAGTCAGGAAGTAGTTAGCATTATCTTTATTTATGTGAATTAAGTATAATTTTTTTCAACGTGCTTAAATTGCAGGCAAAAAATTCTTAGAAAAAAAGGGGAATTAGTTTTTGCTTAGGATCATATTCACCAAAAAACTATATTTCATGATATTAACACAGAGGCAAAGCTCAAAATGGCATCACTTGCGATACACAAAACCTCCGACTCTTAAAAAACTGACAAAATTCAAAAAAAAAATCACCCGACATATTCAAATGTTTGTTTGAAACTGAAACTCGTTTTGATGAAAACCTGTGACAGAACACAACAGTCAAAATTGAAGTAGCTTGAAAAACTTCAAACTACGCTACATTTTGCGCTAAAATATAATCCGTGAAAAAAACAGCCGAAAATTTTTTAAAAAAAAACTTGAATGAAAAAATTACTTGAAAATATAATTTGAAAAAGGTGGGAAAACTTCAGCTACAAAAACTTCTTCATGATTGAATCTGATAAAGGTTATGAGCAGCCTTCAAAATAATTGGAATTGATTCACCGAGCGGCAATAAAGGCAACATATTTTGAGTCGAAACCTGTTGAGCCGAAAACAAAACTGTTGTCAGAAAAAATTTGATAAAGTTTTAAAAAATTTTACGACACACCCATACTGAAGCACATAACCTATACTAATATATTTTGCTCTCAAACTTACGCCATATAAATTGACAAGATCGAAATAACAATCTGCTGAAATATTTCAAAAGAATGATGAAAAAAATTACGCAAAATCAGACTTGGTAAATTTAAAAATCACTGAACTCTCAGTTATAGTAAAAAAATGTTGAAATTGGAACAAAACCCATGCTTTAAGTAAGCCGATAAAAACTTTTCCAAAAAAATGCGCGTTTAAAAAAACGGAAAATGAACTGACGGAAACTAGGACGAACACCACGAACCCGATAAAAGAATTGAGAGTTCTTTTTGAAGAATTAATTACAACCTGAAACAATTTTGTACTCGTTTAGAAAGGTGGTCTCGCCGTTTTTGTGAGTCCCATTCAAAAGCGCGTTTAGTGCGGTCCCGCCAGACAACTTGAAATATTCTTCACGTACTTCAAGTGGATGAAAATAAAAGGAAATTTTTGTAAATTAATTCTTCGTAAGATTAGCCACTAACGTTTCTTTAACACATTATCAAAAATAGCAGTTCACCGGCAAAACTTGAAAATTACCATTAGAAACTTCGATATGCCTGACTTTAGTAGAAAACCATTGGTAGTTTTACGAGGCCATACTTCTAAATGAGATTTTAACAGGACCATACTTCTAAGCGAGAACCCAGCCTTTACCTAATTACTACTTAAAGGATGTTAGTTTTTGAATTTCTAGAATTTAGGCATGTCAAAAGTGATTTTTAAAATGACAACTTAAGTCACCATTCTGTGAACAAACTGTTTTCTTTAAATATTTAAAATATATACTGACTGCAGATGGAGCATTTCGTCTATACTCAACCCCTCCATCATCTCCTCCCCTCCTGACTTCTGTCTCTGTCTCTCCATCTTGCTCTGCAGGTCAGGGTCAAGTGAGGTCAAACTACTCGCCCTCTTCAAGCTATCACTCTCCACCGAAGGGGTCAAAGAGGCACGTCCTCAAGTAAACATTGAAAGTGAAGTATTAAAGTTTGAAACAATTTTAAAACATTTATCCACGAGTGAAACAATCGACACATTAGCTGTTCAGCTCATCACAGAGAAACGCTGTTGTGTCCCTGCTTAAGAATAACATGCACATTTTTGGCTGTTTTTCTGGGCTGGTTAACGTTCCCTCACCATCAAAGCACCGCTCACGCAAAAGTCTTACGGCAAGGAACTCCAAAATCTTACTGTAAGTAGAAAAAGTAGAGTAATCGGTTAGTTCGGTCGAGTAAGAGCAGAAGGACTAACAGCAATTATTGTTTTTACCATTTGACAAAGCAGGAAGATTTTTGTATTCGGGTGTGTTTCAGTTTTTATTTGTTCCGACAATTTGAAAAATGGGAACTTTGTTTTCGGGCGTGTTTTAGTTTTTTTTCTTGTGTTTTTTTTCCACGCAAAATCAGCAACCACAACGAGAGTTGAAGGATAATTATGTTAAAGCCCTTAGCCAACGAATTTTAAGAATTTCAAAAAAATTTCCTCGTGTCGACAAAAACTGATCTGAAATTTCTCGTTGATCATCGTAATTCGAGCGAATAAAGCGTGCGGGCAGACTTACAATGGCTAATTTTAATGACTTAAAATAGCTTAAAAACTTAGTTTTACTCGAGTAACGTTAGTTTTGAGTACTTTAGCACCTTTTTGGAATGAAAAAAATTCAAAAATTAAAAAAGCTGCATACGAATGAAAAAATTTTAGTAATAAAAAGTTTTGAGAAATCAAAAAACTGCAAGAAAATTGAGAACGTTTTTTTTTAAATATTTTTTCGTTTTTCTAGTCTTCTTTCTATGAAAATTGTTTTTCAACTTGTTTATTTCTTATGAGTGTTGAATACGCCTAATCTTTACTTTTTTGTTCAGCTCTTTTTATTATCACATGCTGAAAATAACGAAATAATTTGAAAAAAAAACTTCTTTGTTTTTTATAAGACTATTTGCACAGTAACGGACCATACTCGTTTCTTTTTTTTCTCCACGCAAAATCAGCTACCTCAAATAATCATGGGAGAGAGCTGAGTAACATATCATTTTAAAACCTTTTCAGTCGTGATTGGAATGACATTACAAACTTTTAAAAAATATTTCCCAGTGTCGAGAAAAACAGGTTTGAAGTTTTTGATCTTCGAGTGTTCGATAGTTTTCTTTAATAGCTTAAAAGCTTACAATTGCTTATTTTAGGATGTAAACACGTAGTTTTAATCGACTAAAATAAGTTTTTTTGAGATTTTTGTGCCTTTTTGGAAACCAAAATATCGAAAATTCAAAAAACTGCAAAAAAAACTTTTTTTTGTTTTTCTAGTCATTTTTCTACAAAAATAGTTTTCCAATTTGTTCATTTGACTATAGCCGTCGAATATGCCTCCAATTTTTCGTTCAGATCTTTTTATCGCACCACGCAGAAAAAAAAACGACTACAATTTGAAGAATTTTTTTTTTTTCAAGACTATGGTCCGAACATTCTGTCCTACTTGCGTAGTAACCGGCTATGCTTGTAGAAACTATACCATTGCAAAACTTGAAAACGACAGAAAAATTAGCTTTTTAAATGCTCAAATTACAACTAATATAGCTACAAACTGATACCTTACGCGAGCTTGTCTTATTGTCATTGGCAATACGTTAAATGTGTAAATAAACAGCAATTGACGTTTGATTCAAAAAATACAAACCGTGAAACTCAATCAAAGGATTTGGGTTTTTACAGGAAAAAATGGCAGAATTGAAAAAGTGAAAAAAATGCCAACCTATGACGCCGCTACCCCCCCTCCGTCTTCATAACCCCGTTTTAACACGCTCTAGATACGTACCCACATGCCGCTTGACTGAACCAACGCCCGATCTTCCAACTTGAAGCGAGCCAGACCTCTCATTCGTCTGCAAGAACTTCCTCCGTGACTCCTTAAAACTCACCGAACTTCGGTCAATTTCGCCTTTTCGGAATGCCGTGCGCCTTCTTTCTTGCTCGTCTGATTCCTCAGTTTTTCTAGAACTTTCTTCCGATTTGGTGACATCATCAATAGCTGATGTTGTCAAATTTTGAACGTTATTTGTAGTGGAATCTTCGTCTTTTTCGTTGCGCATTTCTGGAGCAACAGTTGCGTTAGTAACTTCGGAATCCTTGAAATCTTTAGGCGTTTCGGTGGATCCAGAAAGTTCCATGAACCTCTGGACGTTTGCATCGTTCAATTTAATTTCATCGTTTTGGTTCGAAAGTGTTGAGCGATGATTTGAAAGATCGTTAACCGATGCGCTTTCTTTTCTAGCCTCAAGCTGCTCCGAAAAGCCGTGACGAAAACCTTGATGATCTCGAGTAGAACTTGAAATATCAAAATTAGACTCGGTTTTCAACGGAACCAAATCAGGATGTCCAATTCCTACATTTTCTTGACTGTCATAGTCGTTCAAATGAGCATCACGAACATCAAACTGACTTGATGATTCATAAACCGCGGTTGAATTGTCCATTAAAGTAGTTCGACTTGAGGCCGTCCCGTCTGAAAACGTCATCACTGAATGTCGCTTGTCTTCATCACGCCTTCCAATTTCGAAGTCAATGTCAACACCACCTTTATAAATCACTGTTGGATCATCTGATTTTTCAGAGGCGTTCGGGGCATCGATCCCTGGGGTTTGCAGGTACTCAGCTGTTTCAGGCTCAGCGTGAACAATTTCAAAGCTAGTGTCCGTTTTTGAACTTATTTGCGATTTATTATCTTCATCGTTAGGTGTTCCAGTTTTGTTGCCGTCGCTAGAAGCATCGTCTTTTTCTAAATTTAGATAGTCTTCTTCTCTTTATTATTGCGACCATTCTTGTTCCTAGAGCTAGGACTGAACTTTGGCGCGTAGTTTAATTTTTTCATCCTAATTTTGATTTTCTGAAGGAAAGTTCCTAGGCGTTCAGCTGCAAATATATGCAAACCCTTTCAACTGTGACCTGGACTCTAAATTTTTCGAAAAAATTTCCCATTGTAGAGCAAAATGTTTCTGAATTTATCCGATTTTTGGACCATATTTCCCAAAACTGGAGACACTGACCTCAATTTCGATGACACTTAATTTTCTACGTTAGTTTTTGTTGCGATATTTTAGATATAATTGCCTTTCGTTCAGCAATTTTTGTACCTAATTCAATCGCCTCATATTAAAAAAAGAAACAATCGGAAGTTTAAAAAAAATATATTTTTTGAAAAAAATCTTTCAGGAAAAACTTTCCCTTATTCTTGAGTTTATTTACTTAAATCGTTTTATCCTTGTTTTTGTTCTGATTTTGCTTCGTGATGTGAAAATTGTCTTGTTCAAACGGGGTACCTTGAACTGAGATACTTTCTGTAGAATCTTCTAGCTGTTCGTCGACAGTCGGCTCCACAAGAGTCTCGGATCGGTTCTCGTAGTCTTCAGATCTTATTCCCCCCATCTCTTCGTTTGTCGGAGACGCCGAATAGTTTCGCGAAGTGTCCTCGCTTTCGGGAGTCTCCCGCCCAATTTGGTTTTCGTTTTCCGACCTCGGTTCAAAACTGGAACCGCTGGACTCGGAACTTCCGGCGGCCTGTGACTCATAATCGGAAGAAACGGGAACTGCGATTCCTTTTTGCGGTGTAGATTCTTCCGAATCGATCGAAACCGAGTTGTCTTCTATAAAATCTGCCATCAGAACTTCCAAAGCTCACTTTATAGATCTTCAAACACTGCTTAGTTTAATATATGATAATAAATAACTAAGCCAGCAATGAATGAGTGAACAATTTAGACATCTATAGGTACAAAATAGCGAAGAAAGATGTCAAATTTATTCTTATTGAAGACTTACCGTCAACATGGTTGATTCTTCATTGCAAAACTATGTACAACAAAGCTTCGGTCAAATATTTGAATCCTGAAGTTTCACCTATTGAACATTTAATGGCCTAGTTTGATTGCCAAATCTTTGCAATATTCAAAATCAACCAAATCAACAATCAACCTCGCAAAAATACAAAACTAGTTTCAGTTTTGGCATCATTTTGAAGAAAACAACTTGTTGTGTGAGTAAAAAAAACTTCTATCCACAACAGCAACAGAACATACGAGCTAATTGGGGTTTTTAGAAAAGAGTGCGGGCAAACAGTGCTACAGGATTTCGGACCTCTTACAGTCCAAGGGGTTCCTCATTTTGTGATTGAGCTAAAAATGTTTCGACATGATCAATTTGAGCAAGCGAGCGCGCTCCAAAAATCCAGCAACAGAATTTTTGGCCTCGTTTCACTAAAATTCATTTTTGGAGCCAATTTTATTCAGTAAAAGCGGCGTGTTTACCGTTTCTTTGGTTAGGTCGGAAAAAAGTGGTTGAGTGAAAAAATGAAAACGAAGAGGTTGCTTGAATAGAATTGGTTAATACAGTGATGAAGGAAAAAAACAACACTGAAGCAAAGCTGCGCTTCGCAAACACTAGACTGACCACAAAAAAAGCAGCTCTGTAAAGTGCAATAAGAAAAGTAGAAATAAGCCTCGAATTAGTAAAATTTCGGCTTACGGCTCGAATTGGATCTGCAACCTAGAGATTATGACCTCCTAACCACTCAGCCACGGATGCTTAATCAATAACAAACACTAGCTTCAAATAACGCAGAGAACAAATGCTAAGAAACTTCCAATGCAACAGATCGTGATTATAGCAAAAGTGCTACCAAATGAACACTTTTACGGGAAACTTTTATTGGCGAGTTAAGTTAGAAAAAAGAAGGTTCTAACTAACATATTAACGCTCGCAAGCTCGCGAGTTTAAATACAGTATTTCATTCAACAAGAATAAGAAGCACGAGCACCGAATCTCATAAAGGCAAAACTCAGAAAAATCAGAAAAAATAGGGATCATAAGAATGTTATCCTTACATTAAAATAACTGGGATTCATCCAAAAAAAATACGTTTATACGATGAATAAAAAGTTCATTCAGTATATTTTCACATTGGGTCTGGCAGAACTTTTCAAGATAAAACTGTGAACAGTTTTTATTCTATGCACAAAGACCTTTGCAATCAATTTTCAAACAAAGACGAAGCGGAGCGTCGATTCACTTGCGATAAAATAGTAATATAACATGACAAGCCAGCCGACATAAATTGAGAGGAAAGCCGCCAATTCGAAAGAATTAGATTTACCAAAATTCTCATATCTGTGTTTTATTTGGCCCAAAAAAATTTAAGGAAAAAATGAAAGCAAGACAATTGAATGTTAAATAAGCATTAAAAATTCAAAAAGCGATAGCAGCAAAAAAGCGCTAAAAAATGCTTCAGCAACGCCGAAAATTCTTGATAAAGTATTAGTAATCAAAAGATATTTCTATATCACACGCCAAAATATTGAGAAAAAAATTTAGGCGGTTTTCCTTTCTTTCAATTTTTAGTTTTCACAATAAGGATTTAGTTTTGAATAAGCTTCATACCTGTTTCTTATTTTTTTGTTGTTTCATTTTGGTGAGGGAATCTTCGTTAGTTTAACATTGTATAGAAAATGGAATTGCTACGTTTCCTGTGCAGTTATTTTGCATTAGATCGCTGAATTTCAACCTGTGCGTCTACGTTGAATAATCTTTTGAATTTAAATTCTAGCTAGGTCCTTAAAACTCAAAATTACTAAAAATTTCCATAACACGAAAATTGAGATTATGGTTAATATTATAGTTTCTGGCACCTTTTCACCAAACACGGACTCATTTTTGACAAAACTTCATTATTGAGGTATCAATTCACAGACTAAAAAGCAGTATCAAGTGTCGATTGTTGCTGAAATATCAGGTATCAATTAATACTAACATACCATCTACGCATTAAAGATTATTGTTCCGACTTTCGATACGAAAGTAACGGAATATTTGTGCTCGGGGTGGTTTTTTTTTCTTCAGACAAATTTCGACTTTTTAACTAGCCATTTTTGACGGAATTTTTTTTATATCATTCGAAAGGTATTGTTGTCCTGAGCTCAAATTTGAAAAGATATTTCACCTGTGATTATTTTTCGTAAAGTTATGAAGGTTTAAAGATTGCCATTTTGGCTATTTTGCCCAATTTGGGACAATTAACGCGCGATATAACTCGCACTATTAACGCTTAAGCGGTCATTTAATCCGTCTTATAAATCGTTCCAAATTGGTTGAACGAAGCTTAATTGCCACTAGAAGCTTAATTTGTTACAAGGAGCGAAATCTATCCTTTTGTACTTTATATGGCGTGTGGGGGGATGATTTTTATCAAAAATTTCAAATTTTAACAAAAATTTTTTTTCTTTTTGTTTTATTTCATTGAATTTTTTAATGTTATTACTGCTCCATAAACCTTAAAAGGCAGTCGGAACGTTCAGGGCTTCGCCCTGATACGAGCAGTCTTGTTTTCGTATAATTTCGATCAACTTTCTTCAATTTGAGTTTTATTTGTGGGAAATCCTATTGGTGAAATTTCGTTCTCATTTTATCTTAAATGGATGCGCGCGGGATTGTATATTACTGCGGCAATTTGCCGCAAACTGACCAAAAAAAAACATTTATGTGCTGCTTAAATTATCTATGAATACTAGATGGAGGGAGTGTGCAGCGAGAGCTCTAATTTTTTGTTGCGCTTTTTGCCAGTCATTGTTCCGACTTTCGATACGAAAGTAACGGAATATTTGTGCTCGGGGTGGGTTTTTTTTTTCTTCAGACAAATTTCGACTTTTTAACTAGCCCCTTTTGACGGAATTTTTAAATATCATTCGTAAGCTATTGCTGTCCTGAGCTTGAATTTGAAAAGATAGTTTACCTGCAATCCTTTTTCGTAAAGTTATGAGGGTTTAAAGATGGCCATTTTGACCAATTTGGGACAATTAACGCGCGATATAATTCGCGCTATTAACGCGTAAGCGGAGATTTAATCCGTCTTATAAATCGTTCCAAATTGATTGGAAGAAGCTTATTTGCCATAATTGATTTGTTACAAGGAGCGAAATCTATCCTTTTGTACTTTATATGGCGTGTGGGGTGATGATTTTCATTAAAAAAATTTCAAACTTTAGAAAAAAAAATTTCATTTTTTTTATTTCATTTATTTTTCTAATGTTTTTACTGCTGCTCCATAAACCTTAAAGGCAGTCGGAACATTCAGGGCTTCGCCCTGATACGAGCAGTCTTGTTTTATTTTGCAATTGATCCAAATTGATATTTTGACTTGGGCAAAACCTATAGTCAGCAAAACTCGCTAAGACAGCGAGAACTATATATAACCAACAGTTCATTTGGTAACGTTCTAAAACTTTTACTCATCTTTCCTCAAAGTTGTTTCTTTAGGCTCTGCGCTACCAGCCTAAGGATCAGACTCTAGGCTCGACAAAAACATAAGAAATTAACTTTAATCAAGTTTAACTTGACTCAAGCTAATTTTAACTATTCCATTCAATCGATGATTATATTTATGTTTAATGTTCAATCATCAAAACCTAATTGACAGTTAAGGTGAGATCGCAATTGCTAAAGTAGCTTCAATTCGGATAAGTTTGACCACCACTATTTTTCTAATGATAGCGTTGTAGATGCAAAATCATTGAAGCTCAGCAATGCAACCGTGCACGATTTCATTAAAACACAGAGGCAGAGGCAAGACAGCTTCAAACCACTTGTGATTGACACGAATGACTCTCACTACTTGCAGATTAAGCGACAAATGAAAAAAATCGAATTATTTCTCAAAATTTTTTAAAAGTTTTTAAAAAGCCATAAACTTGCAATAAAAACCTACTTGACAAAGTGAACGACAAAACTGAAGAATAAAGCTGTAGAAAAATAAAACAATACATGTTTTAAAAATTTCCTACTTTAACATGATTAAAAATTGCGTTGACGAAAATATGCCAAGAAGTAAGAATATTGAATGATAAATAAGCATCGAAACTAAATTTTACACAGAGGCGAAGTTGCACTTCGCATACACATGCAAAATATGACCAATAACAATACTGGGAAAACTGAATGAGTAAAACTTTAAGTCTACAAAACTTCTGAAGAGAAGCACGCCAATTATGAGTCTACATAACTGCTAAGTGACGCAAGCCAATTATGACGCATTAGCAGTACCTGTCAACTTGAAAAAATAAATCATCAATTAACATGCCTCAATTGTAGAACGGACGCAGTTTCGCTAGTATACGAAAAAGTACATTAAAAACAGGTTGAAACAAGTTCGAACCCTCTTATTTTAATGCTGATCCCCTTCTCCACCTCTACGCTACAAATCCATAATACCTTGAAGCTAAAGTGCTAACTGTAATATAAAAGTCTGTGTTAATATAATGCAACAATATTTGCGACTTAGGTTGGTAAACAAGAGATTTCATACTATTACACAAGAGTTGCTTGTGTAGTAAAGCGGTAACACAGCCGACAACTCTTCAACAGACACACGTTGCGCCGAAAAAAAAAGTTTTTATTCGAAAAACTCCAAAACTCAAAAAATCCAAGTACATCTCAAATTAATGAAATCAAATATTTTTGCTCCTAAAACGACTAAAACAGATGCCTTTGAGACGAAAATTTATCAACCAATGCCTTTCGAGCCTAATAAACAAAAAACGGGAGAAAACAAAATTTAAAAAAAAACTACTAAAGTTGGAGTTGGTAAACTTACACGTAACATAATGTTCTTCATCTGTTTGTTCGTTGAGGGAACTAGAGATGGAGATGACAATTAATTCAATCATTCTATGAACAAAGTTATTTACGGAAAAATCCAGCT